CACAAAGTTATTTCCAGAGGTGTCTTGTTGAGTGGTTTTGTCGATAGTCACTACTGGGAATGCATTGTGTGCTGTTGTTTTGAGAATTCCAACAATTGAGTGGACTCTTGTGTGAGGATAAATATAGGACAGGCATGACTCCATGATGTCAGAAGCTTTTAACCTGTGTGCAGTAAAGGAAATTAATTTACAATAATCAAACATACCTTATTCAAAATTAGAGTTGTCAGACGTTCTGATGTTTCAAACATCATTTTCAAGGCAAAAGTAAAAATATTGAGGCGACACAGGAGTAAAAATAAGTGAAAACCATCAATTAAAAACATTATCAGTATAATTTTTGTCAATGAAACACTCAAATTAGTTTCAGCACTTTTTGAGCACCAAAAAGTTGTTGATTAAATTCAGTTTTGACATTCTGTGCTTCTTGAGCATGTGTTTTCCAACTGAGGGATTTAAAGAGCTATGCTCTGTCATACATTGGTGTTGATGTTGGTTAGTGGATCCAACATAGTCTGTATTGCATGTACCACATGGAAAATAGTACATGATGCATTGCTGACTGATGATCTTGGGTTTTAGCTCCTTCGGTTTTAAGATGCTTCAGACTTTCCGGTTTCAAGGAACACGGGCTGATAGCTCGTTTCAGAGCATGCTACAACCCTTGCAATACCTGTACATTTCCTGAGGTGCTGTCCATTCAAGAAGAGGAACACTCCTTAATTTGATGTGAATGTCATAAAGCCCTTCATTAAACAAATCTCCAGACCACTTTGCAACCTGCGGGGAAAAGTGTATCAACTTACATCAGACACAGTTATTTTAACTCATACATGTACATGTACGTTTACGGAATTCCTTTTCACAATGGATATATTTAAATAATTTATGCAAAGATAGCCCTATAGAGAACTTTACTAATTGCCACTTATTTAAAAACAAGAACAATTGGTCCCCTATCTAGGGACAACATAGCTTCTCAGCTTTTGTTTTGTCTTTAATTACAGTCCAACAGGTGTCTGTACAAGATGAGATTCAATGCAGAATTCTTCTCATTGTAAAGGAGCACATTGGTCTGCTCGCAGAGGCTTGATCTACTTTGAAGCAAAGTAAAACCAGGGGTGAATGAGGCCAGATCACAAAATATTGGTCAACAGATGCAAGTTGGACAAAAGTTTGCTTCAGATTTTATCACCTATCTTCAGCAGGGGGAGGTGGGGAAGGGGGGCAAATGAGTCAGCACCAAGTGACGGTTGACATCCTCTCTGCTAGATGACTGAAAACTTGTCAACTCCCGTGGTTATATATGGGTTATTGACCAAGTGTGAGGTCAAGATGGCTGGATATTGGCCAAGTTCTTTTTTTGCGAGTTTATGGACCGAGACGGAGTTGAGGTCCATAAACTCGCAAAAAAGAATGAGGCCAATATCCAGCCATCTTGACCACACAAGCTTGTTAATAAAGGATTTATTATATGGCTTTCGGGGAAATTTTTCTTGTGGGACACGGCGGGTAGTCCTGAGCGGGCAAGATAACTCTATCTTGCCCGCTCAGGTAGCCAATCACAGTGCAGGATTTGATTCTTGCCCGCTCAAAGAGCCAGCCACACAATAAGATGAAATAATGATAAGTCCAGACAATAATCAAAGAAAATGCATGGGGGTTGGAAGTTAAATAATGACAAGAGTCAACTCATTACTGCACAGATATAGTTTCATAGTAAGCTACTTACAGAACCTGTAAATTAAAGTAGGTACACCGTACATAAAAAAAGCAGGATTATACATACCATGAGTGTTATCATGATTGGCAGGCCATAACTGATTTCATTGGTTGATTCTATTAGGATGACAGTCAAGCTGATTGTCATGCGCACAACTCCCCCCAAGAATGATGCTGCTCCTATCAGTGCAAATGTTCCATGATATGTGTGCTGGTATCCCAACAGCCTGAAAAACACATCACATTATTATGACCTGGCTCATGGTGTTAAAATGCATTAATCATCCTTCCAGGAGAGATAGCTACAGTTGTTACATTGCCACCCGTGTTTAACAGACTTCGTAAATTCATTAAATAGGTTTAGATTTTTTTTCTTTTGGTTTAACAGTTGTTGTCATGCATATGCCCAATCAACTTAATTACCTTTAATAAAGATAAAGATAAAGATAACTGTTATTTAAGAAAAGCACTCTTGCTATGCAAAGGTACCTCTAGACTACATAAACATGTATCTAAGCGCAACTTGTCCTGGCAGGTAGTGGTTTACTTGGAAAGCTCAGTGAAAGTATTTTGCCATTACCTGCAAAGTTCTCCAATAAAGCGGCCATAAGCTGCACCACACAACAAGCAAGGAACAAACAGACCACTAGGAACACTGGCACCATATGTCCAGCAGGCCAGGAAGTAGAAACAGATGAAAAAGATCCCCAGGGATGTCAGACTAAAGGCACCTGATGAGTAATCAGACAGATACTAACTGAAGGATACATGTATGTCATGCAATGCATCATTGTCAAAATGCATTATTGTCAAAATGACAATTTACACATTATCCAACAGCTTGATGTTAAAATCGTCAGTGACTGGTCCTACAGTGTCTTGGATATTTCAGACAATGATGCAATGTAGTGCTATGCCAACTTACATTCTCACTTCTGAACATAACCACCTTTAGTTAGTATAGGTAATCGTATGAATACGAGTACAATTAAGGCTTAACACTACAAGTGATATTTGAAAATTCCCTCACAATTGCACGAGCCTTTAGACAAGTGCAATTTGAAAGAATTTGCTTCCATCTGATTACTCATTTATTATATGACTGGGAAAATAACAAAAGTGTGAGCATTAATTTCACTGCAGTGCAAAATAAAACTTAACAGTATATTGGCCTGGTCTGAGCAATTGCAATGACAGTCTGAAGTAATTTTTTGCAGTTATATATTAAATAACATTAATACTAGCCAAGATGGTCAACCTAGGAGTGGAGAATTAATTTTGTGTACTTACAGGAACCACAGAAAATGATGAGCTAAATAACAGACCAAGACCTACTCTTTAAAGAATTATTTTTTAGCAGTTTGCATTGTAAGTTAGAGGAAAGTTCTGTTGCAGGAAGTAATTAAGGCCGCTGTCTAGTATCATCTAAGCTAGTTACAAGCTATCACAACACAGACATTTACCATCAAGATGGAAAAGTTGCCTGATTGCTGACTCCTGAGAGGTAAAGAACAATGTGGCCATGTCATTGAACTGTCCATCTTGACAAAAGTAAGGCTTGGTGTCATTCCCCTTAGTGCTGCCCTGTAGAAAGGAAAACTGTTCTGTAAATGTGTAAACTACACTCAACTTGTACAATGAGGCTGTATCTAAAGAACAATAACTACTGTAGTTATAAAGTACAGTGTCTCACTAAGAGTTAAATTTTCAAAGGAAATCTTTGTGACAATCCATTACTGGTCAAGAGTATAATTATATATTAAAATAATCTCTCTAGTGTAATCAGTTCCATTCTTCATAACCCCTCTTAATCTCCGATTGCACAAAGATTTTTTTTTTCAATATTTGCTAAGATTAGAGCAGGAGGGTATGGAGAACAAGACTGCAAGTTGAATCTCACAGATTTCCACTATAATGTCTTAATACCAAGTTAGAGCACATTGTTTAGTATACTACCATTTTTGCAAAACAGATTCAACTAGTACAATGAGGCTGTATTTATAGAAAAAATTATAAAATTGGTTTTAGAATACAATCTCTCCATACTGGTATTTATAAATGATGTGAGGAAATACTTATAACAGTCTATTACTAGTCAAGAGTACATGTACATATAAAATCATTTCTCCATAAAGTTAAAACAAGTGCCATTATCCGTACCGTCCATTCTTGGTTTTGTATTGATTTTACAAACTTTACAAAAGTAGTACATGAATGCTAGGTGAATTTCAGAGTTTTCCACTTTCATGTCACACTGTATACAGCATCAAGATGATGTTAGACTTACAGGAGGAAGTGTCTTGCAGCGTGCAAGGTATATTGGACCAAAGAATGCTACTGAAGTGGTGAGAAAACCAACCAGAACAGCTTCAAGAATCCTATAATATGCAAAAACAGACAATAAAAACTGGATAGTACAACTACAGCTTTATGGAGCTGCTATTTTAAATAACCATCCAAGAAAATAAATGATCCACAACTTGTAATTTTACATATATCCTCATAGAATACAGTTTGTTTGATTTGATGACTTGAAAAACCAATATATAACCAGCTGAAGGTAAAATATTTTAAAAATTTGGAACATGACATTCTATGACTTTATATTAATCAATCTTACCAAAATTTCTTAATGTTTGTTACAAGAATTCTTGAAGTAAATAAAGATGGGCCAGCACGCCTAGATCATTATATCAGTTAATCATTATTAATTTTAGTGGAATCAAGTCATGTGTTATGCCCACGATGTCTTTACTGTGGAAAAAGAAACTTTTAGTTATGTCGTAGTATAACTAAAGTCAAGAGTAGTTTTCACTTGCATTTTTACAATAGTACACTTAATGTTTGGTGTAAAACACAGGTGCCACTTTCTCATCCAATCAGAAGCAATTATACCAAGACCAGTGGTGACTCACTCGAACTCTCAAGCTTTGCGTCAGATACATGTATGTCCTCTTAGTTTTGATTGGTCCATCAGTACACCAGATTGTCTGTGCCCTTTGTGATTGGCCAGAGTGATAACTTTGAAACACTCAGTTGAAAACTACTCTAACTTACTATTGAAGTTATTAAATTACCTAACATGCTTAGCTCGTGAATAGACATGCAAGATGCGATGGACTGTGAGATGTTTGTTCAAAGCATTGAACCAGGCTCCAAGAAGACCACCAACAAAGCCCATAGCAATGAAGATCAGAACATCCTGTAGGTTCCACAGATCACACTTCTCTGTTCCTTCCTTACACTTTGAATCAAAACATAACTACCAGTCAGAGTTGATGAGTAACTCACAGTACAGCTTATTTTCAACTATAGTTACAGCTTAACTCCATTTGTTTGCATCTACTTTGAACATGGAAGGTTGTCCTGCATTCAATGGTTGGTTCCTGGACCAAAAACCTGTGTCTTAAAAATCAATACCTGAAAGTGATTTATGCTTGTTTTACTTTTAGAAATGCGGGGCTCACAGATGATTAAACATTTGCATTGAGACATTAAACAGTTGCTATTGTCTCCTCGCCTTCAGTATCATGGTTAAAATGTGTAGAGAAAATTAGTCCTTCATGTTTTTGTTTTCTGCTCTGAACATTATGACAGCATTTCTCTCAATAGGAATCATTTGAAATATACACCACATCAAAATTTAAAGTATTATACATAAATTGTCAAAAAAAATTAGGTAATGCACCCTGAAGTCTCCAAAGTTGAGCAAGCCAGGCTGATTGAATAAACCCCAGCCATAACCAAAAATACCAGTCAAACAAAAGTTCAATGTGAATGTGGAAGCCATGGAACAGAAAAACTGAAAAAGAGATCAAGAAAGAAACATTATTTTACGCATAATTTGTAATGTTTAAAATCCCAGTTCGTAGGAGACAAAGTGTGTTGGACTCTTGATCTGGCAGACCAGGTTCCAGAACTAATACCTAAAGATACTTTATTCTCAAACTCATTAATAATTCATCAAGTTTAAATAGACAAACGAAATCATGACGGTGACAGTGTTTGGATATCTGATCTTAATTAGCATAGATTTTTATGAGTTCATTTCTCCATTTTCTACTTACTTTTAGTTTCAATTGAGATGATGAATCAAACACTCAAGACAGTGTTTTACCAAATCAAACTCCTCAAAGTTCATCAAAAATACTCCCCTGTGCATCACATTTTCAACTCTCCTCTCGTTGTTTTGAATGTGGTCAAACACAGTCTTTCATGTCTGATATATTACCTCTCACAGTGTTTTTCCCCAGTTGGATAAAAGAAAAGAAAACTAAAAAAAATGCTAGGAGACAACCTGTGATGAACTAGCATCCTATCCAAAGGGAGACTAACAAATGAACATATTCATTTCTATAAACTTTCTGCTAAACCGTAATTTATAAGCTCCAATGTGGGCCTGTGTCATTAGTCAGCTTGCTCATTACAAAGTCAGTACAAAACTATGATACAAGCATAAAAATCAAAGTCAAAATGTAGATTGTGTACTTATAGGCCTGTTTACTTTGCTTTAAGTTTTAGTGACAAATCATGGAGGATTGATTTCCGAACATTGTTACAATATGTTCTACTGGAAATAAAAGTAATCTTACACTTCTCCATGTGAGTGCTTGGTTCCAAAATGAGCTTCCTTCCTCCAAGCTAAATAACACCCCTCCTATGGGAGCCCCAAAAGCCGCTGGAATTAAAAAATGAATATTTAATGTATTACATTTGAAATAATAGAATCTTTGTCATCACTATTTTAATTCATAATCTAACAACATAGATTTCTAGTAAGATAAATTATTACTATAATGGCTAATAACAGTACCTGCTACTCCAGCAGCTGCACCTCCCGACACAAAATCTCTTTTCTCTCTGATGTGATTTGAAAGAAAAAAAAATTAAATTGAGATCCATTCTGCTGTTATTTCAAAACTTACACATTTAAAATCAAGATTCTTGTTATGTGGAATGTCAGCTGTATACACCGTATATACATGTACATGTAATAACAAAATTATAGCACTATTTAACCTCACCATAACCTCAAATCATGTGCTCTTTTTATACACAATATATTAATTAAAATGTTTTCGTCAATATAGTTTAACCAACAGATTTAAGCATATTAACCTGAGGAGACTATTTAGTGAGGCTGGAACAGCTGAAACACGTTTGATGGACACAATCCCCTCAGCTCTCAGGTCAACTCTAATTTGAAAACTTCCTTTAATATACCAACAATGAATAGAATTACCTGTCTGTTCGGAAGTACGGAAAATCAAAGTTGATTTTTCTAAATGCAATACTTTGAAACTGTTAAGGAAGAAAAAAGGAAATGCTTTATCGTGCGATTGAAAGTGGATTTCATCTTAAGTGTATTTTGTGTGATTATTTAATAATAATTTAAAGTAATTATAGATAAATGAAACATTGACAAAAAGAACAACAAACTGTGTATTACGCACATATAAGTTACAATCAGTATTTATCTACCAGACACATGGTTGTAAGATCCTACTAATTTAGAAATAATTAAATTTTTAAAGTTACTTTACTACCTGGGGTACTCCAGCACCTATAATTGCACCACTGTGGATCATTGGTCCTTCTTTCCCGACAAATAAACCTGAATGATGCAAAACATAGCAGTAACATAACAGTCAGGAAGATGTGGTGAAAATATGGTATGAATTCATTTTAATTTCTAATTTCCGAAATAAAACACAGAGGGTCTGAGCCATCGCTTCAGGATTAGCAGGTTTGCATACATGTAACACTTTTGTCCTCATCCTTTCATCTAATTATAATTATACACAGAAGTGTGCAGTATTAGGAATATGTCCTCAGTAGAAAGCCACCTATCTGTTAATGACAAAAGTAATGTTTTCGGTCTCCTTACCTCCAGCAACACTAAACAACACACCAACTGCTTTACATATTAGGGTTTTAAGTCGCACCACATGAGGAACCTGCAATCCAAACATTTTGTGTACTGGTATTAAGAACCTCACTTGGTCTCAGAAGTATACAGTATGCCAGAATGACACTGAGCAGAAATANNAATAAAGGATTTATTATATGGCTTTCGGGGAAATTTTTCTTGTGGGACACGGCGGGTAGTCCTGAGCGGGCAAGATAACTCTATCTTGCCCGCTCAGGTAGCCAATCACAGTGCAGGATTTGATTCTTGCCCGCTCAAAGAGCCAGCCACACAATAAGATGAAATAATGATAAGTCCAGACAATAATCAAAGAAAATGCATGGGGGTTGGAAGTTAAATAATGACAAGAGTCAACTCATTACTGCACAGATATAGTTTCATAGTAAGCTACTTACAGAACCTGTAAATTAAAGTAGGTACACCGTACATAAAAAAAGCAGGATTATACATACCATGAGTGTTATCATGATTGGCAGGCCATAACTGATTTCATTGGTTGATTCTATTAGGATGACAGTCAAGCTGATTGTCATGCGCACAACTCCCCCCAAGAATGATGCTGCTCCTATCAGTGCAAATGTTCCATGATATGTGTGCTGGTATCCCAACAGCCTGAAAAACACATCACATTATTATGACCTGGCTCATGGTGTTAAAATGCATTAATCATCCTTCCAGGAGAGATAGCTACAGTTGTTACATTGCCACCCGTGTTTAACAGACTTCGTAAATTCATTAAATAGGTTTAGATTTTTTTTCTTTTGGTTTAACAGTTGTTGTCATGCATATGCCCAATCAACTTAATTACCTTTAATAAAGATAAAGATAAAGATAACTGTTATTTAAGAAAAGCACTCTTGCTATGCAAAGGTACCTCTAGACTACATAAACATGTATCTAAGCGCAACTTGTCCTGGCAGGTAGTGGTTTACTTGGAAAGCTCAGTGAAAGTATTTTGCCATTACCTGCAAAGTTCTCCAATAAAGCGGCCATAAGCTGCACCACACAACAAGCAAGGAACAAACAGACCACTAGGAACACTGGCACCATATGTCCAGCAGGCCAGGAAGTAGAAACAGATGAAAAAGATCCCCAGGGATGTCAGACTAAAGGCACCTGATGAGTAATCAGACAGATACTAACTGAAGGATACATGTATGTCATGCAATGCATCATTGTCAAAATGCATTATTGTCAAAATGACAATTTACACATTATCCAACAGCTTGATGTTAAAATCGTCAGTGACTGGTCCTACAGTGTCTTGGATATTTCAGACAATGATGCAATGTAGTGCTATGCCAACTTACATTCTCACTTCTGAACATAACCACCTTTAGTTAGTATAGGTAATCGTATGAATACGAGTACAATTAAGGCTTAACACTACAAGTGATATTTGAAAATTCCCTCACAATTGCACGAGCCTTTAGACAAGTGCAATTTGAAAGAATTTGCTTCCATCTGATTACTCATTTATTATATGACTGGGAAAATAACAAAAGTGTGAGCATTAATTTCACTGCAGTGCAAAATAAAACTTAACAGTATATTGGCCTGGTCTGAGCAATTGCAATGACAGTCTGAAGTAATTTTTTGCAGTTATATATTAAATAACATTAATACTAGCCAAGATGGTCAACCTAGGAGTGGAGAATTAATTTTGTGTACTTACAGGAACCACAGAAAATGATGAGCTAAATAACAGACCAAGACCTACTCTTTAAAGAATTATTTTTTAGCAGTTTGCATTGTAAGTTAGAGGAAAGTTCTGTTGCAGGAAGTAATTAAGGCCGCTGTCTAGTATCATCTAAGCTAGTTACAAGCTATCACAACACAGACATTTACCATCAAGATGGAAAAGTTGCCTGATTGCTGACTCCTGAGAGGTAAAGAACAATGTGGCCATGTCATTGAACTGTCCATCTTGACAAAAGTAAGGCTTGGTGTCATTCCCCTTAGTGCTGCCCTGTAGAAAGGAAAACTGTTCTGTAAATGTGTAAACTACACTCAACTTGTACAATGAGGCTGTATCTAAAGAACAATAACTACTGTAGTTATAAAGTACAGTGTCTCACTAAGAGTTAAATTTTCAAAGGAAATCTTTGTGACAATCCATTACTGGTCAAGAGTATAATTATATATTAAAATAATCTCTCTAGTGTAATCAGTTCCATTCTTCATAACCCCTCTTAATCTCCGATTGCACAAAGATTTTTTTTTTCAATATTTGCTAAGATTAGAGCAGGAGGGTATGGAGAACAAGACTGCAAGTTGAATCTCACAGATTTCCACTATAATGTCTTAATACCAAGTTAGAGCACATTGTTTAGTATACTACCATTTTTGCAAAACAGATTCAACTAGTACAATGAGGCTGTATTTATAGAAAAAATTATAAAATTGGTTTTAGAATACAATCTCTCCATACTGGTATTTATAAATGATGTGAGGAAATACTTATAACAGTCTATTACTAGTCAAGAGTACATGTACATATAAAATCATTTCTCCATAAAGTTAAAACAAGTGCCATTATCCGTACCGTCCATTCTTGGTTTTGTATTGATTTTACAAACTTTACAAAAGTAGTACATGAATGCTAGGTGAATTTCAGAGTTTTCCACTTTCATGTCACACTGTATACAGCATCAAGATGATGTTAGACTTACAGGAGGAAGTGTCTTGCAGCGTGCAAGGTATATTGGACCAAAGAATGCTACTGAAGTGGTGAGAAAACCAACCAGAACAGCTTCAAGAATCCTATAATATGCAAAAACAGACAATAAAAACTGGATAGTACAACTACAGCTTTATGGAGCTGCTATTTTAAATAACCATCCAAGAAAATAAATGATCCACAACTTGTAATTTTACATATATCCTCATAGAATACAGTTTGTTTGATTTGATGACTTGAAAAACCAATATATAACCAGCTGAAGGTAAAATATTTTAAAAATTTGGAACATGACATTCTATGACTTTATATTAATCAATCTTACCAAAATTTCTTAATGTTTGTTACAAGAATTCTTGAAGTAAATAAAGATGGGCCAGCACGCCTAGATCATTATATCAGTTAATCATTATTAATTTTAGTGGAATCAAGTCATGTGTTATGCCCACGATGTCTTTACTGTGGAAAAAGAAACTTTTAGTTATGTCGTAGTATAACTAAAGTCAAGAGTAGTTTTCACTTGCATTTTTACAATAGTACACTTAATGTTTGGTGTAAAACACAGGTGCCACTTTCTCATCCAATCAGAAGCAATTATACCAAGACCAGTGGTGACTCACTCGAACTCTCAAGCTTTGCGTCAGATACATGTATGTCCTCTTAGTTTTGATTGGTCCATCAGTACACCAGATTGTCTGTGCCCTTTGTGATTGGCCAGAGTGATAACTTTGAAACACTCAGTTGAAAACTACTCTAACTTACTATTGAAGTTATTAAATTACCTAACATGCTTAGCTCGTGAATAGACATGCAAGATGCGATGGACTGTGAGATGTTTGTTCAAAGCATTGAACCAGGCTCCAAGAAGACCACCAACAAAGCCCATAGCAATGAAGATCAGAACATCCTGTAGGTTCCACAGATCACACTTCTCTGTTCCTTCCTTACACTTTGAATCAAAACATAACTACCAGTCAGAGTTGATGAGTAACTCACAGTACAGCTTATTTTCAACTATAGTTACAGCTTAACTCCATTTGTTTGCATCTACTTTGAACATGGAAGGTTGTCCTGCATTCAATGGTTGGTTCCTGGACCAAAAACCTGTGTCTTAAAAATCAATACCTGAAAGTGATTTATGCTTGTTTTACTTTTAGAAATGCGGGGCTCACAGATGATTAAACATTTGCATTGAGACATTAAACAGTTGCTATTGTCTCCTCGCCTTCAGTATCATGGTTAAAATGTGTAGAGAAAATTAGTCCTTCATGTTTTTGTTTTCTGCTCTGAACATTATGACAGCATTTCTCTCAATAGGAATCATTTGAAATATACACCACATCAAAATTTAAAGTATTATACATAAATTGTCAAAAAAAATTAGGTAATGCACCCTGAAGTCTCCAAAGTTGAGCAAGCCAGGCTGATTGAATAAACCCCAGCCATAACCAAAAATACCAGTCAAACAAAAGTTCAATGTGAATGTGGAAGCCATGGAACAGAAAAACTGAAAAAGAGATCAAGAAAGAAACATTATTTTACGCATAATTTGTAATGTTTAAAATCCCAGTTCGTAGGAGACAAAGTGTGTTGGACTCTTGATCTGGCAGACCAGGTTCCAGAACTAATACCTAAAGATACTTTATTCTCAAACTCATTAATAATTCATCAAGTTTAAATAGACAAACGAAATCATGACGGTGACAGTGTTTGGATATCTGATCTTAATTAGCATAGATTTTTATGAGTTCATTTCTCCATTTTCTACTTACTTTTAGTTTCAATTGAGATGATGAATCAAACACTCAAGACAGTGTTTTACCAAATCAAACTCCTCAAAGTTCATCAAAAATACTCCCCTGTGCATCACATTTTCAACTCTCCTCTCGTTGTTTTGAATGTGGTCAAACACAGTCTTTCATGTCTGATATATTACCTCTCACAGTGTTTTTCCCCAGTTGGATAAAAGAAAAGAAAACTAAAAAAAATGCTAGGAGACAACCTGTGATGAACTAGCATCCTATCCAAAGGGAGACTAACAAATGAACATATTCATTTCTATAAACTTTCTGCTAAACCGTAATTTATAAGCTCCAATGTGGGCCTGTGTCATTAGTCAGCTTGCTCATTACAAAGTCAGTACAAAACTATGATACAAGCATAAAAATCAAAGTCAAAATGTAGATTGTGTACTTATAGGCCTGTTTACTTTGCTTTAAGTTTTAGTGACAAATCATGGAGGATTGATTTCCGAACATTGTTACAATATGTTCTACTGGAAATAAAAGTAATCTTACACTTCTCCATGTGAGTGCTTGGTTCCAAAATGAGCTTCCTTCCTCCAAGCTAAATAACACCCCTCCTATGGGAGCCCCAAAAGCCGCTGGAATTAAAAAATGAATATTTAATGTATTACATTTGAAATAATAGAATCTTTGTCATCACTATTTTAATTCATAATCTAACAACATAGATTTCTAGTAAGATAAATTATTACTATAATGGCTAATAACAGTACCTGCTACTCCAGCAGCTGCACCTCCCGACACAAAATCTCTTTTCTCTCTGATGTGATTTGAAAGAAAAAAAAATTAAATTGAGATCCATTCTGCTGTTATTTCAAAACTTACACATTTAAAATCAAGATTCTTGTTATGTGGAATGTCAGCTGTATACACCGTATATACATGTACATGTAATAACAAAATTATAGCACTATTTAACCTCACCATAACCTCAAATCATGTGCTCTTTTTATACACAATATATTAATTAAAATGTTTTCGTCAATATAGTTTAACCAACAGATTTAAGCATATTAACCTGAGGAGACTATTTAGTGAGGCTGGAACAGCTGAAACACGTTTGATGGACACAATCCCCTCAGCTCTCAGGTCAACTCTAATTTGAAAACTTCCTTTAATATACCAACAATGAATAGAATTACCTGTCTGTTCGGAAGTACGGAAAATCAAAGTTGATTTTTCTAAATGCAATACTTTGAAACTGTTAAGGAAGAAAAAAGGAAATG